GCCCAGCTACTTCAAATGGGGTTCGGTAGCAGTGGTAGTTTTTTCTGGTTGAACTTGGGAAATGTAGTCGCACACATATTCATGGATGTATACAAAATAAAATAACATAAAGCTAAAATAGGTTGGCGAAGTGAAAAGTACTGGATATTGGTTCAAATTCATTTGAAATTGCTCCGTATTTCAACCATATTTCAGCAGCTATTGATGGGCTTACAAGTTGGGACCATAGATTGTATATATAAATGGACGTAGCTAACCATGGGGGTGATTTCGGGTCTATTGACTCTGGCCCCAGTTGACTTTCCACTGAAAAAAAATCTGTCACCCCTCTCTCTGTAACGGCTACACTGAGTCTCGTCATTTTGGTCTTAGAGTGTTCATATTACCGTATTTTCCGGACTATTAAGCGCACCTGAATATAAGCCAACTAACTTTTGACAAAATTATAAAATTGTACATATATAGGTCGCACCTGAATATAAACCACAGGTGTGCACGTCTTTAAGAACTTTTTCAAGTTCAGGCTGTCTGCTTTTATCGCCTCTGAAAGCTTTTGTCGTCTTTTAGCATTGAGTCAGTTCGTCACGCTGCCGTCGCCAAAATCTCACCTTCGACTCACTGATGCCGAGCTCATGTGCAGCAGCTCTGTTTCCTTCGTCCACACCCACATCAATCGCCTTTAACTTAAACACTGCCTCATCTGCATTTCTTTGTGTGTTTTCCATGAGGAGGATGTGGAGGATGTATGAAGCACAAAATACCCGTTCAAAACACAAACAAGCATCTTCCTTGGCGCATCACCCCCGTCTCTCCCTGTGCTCTACTGTGCATGTCTCCTGCAGAAAGAGCCGCGATCCTGTCTGTATCATGTTAGTGTCTTGGAGGATTTCAGCAGATTTCAGACTCTTTTGGGAGCGAGGCTACTTCTGTCAATCAAGTATGAGTGGATGTCCGGCTACTGAAATTTGAGATGTTTCTTCTCGTCATTTATGCATATGGGTAAGATGTATCCCCCTCACAAATGTTCATTTAGTGTCATAACTTATTTTATCACATGACGATAAACTATTTGAGTGCACTGACAATATCGTTAGCTAGTGTAGAAACTTCATGTTAACTCTAGATCCATGTGTGAACTGCTCAGACAGCATCTGCATCTGCTATGTTGCCAAACCACAGACCGTATAAATGAATGGACAATGTGCCAAATAATCCGTCTATATATTAGCCACATTGTTTTATTAACCACAGGGTTCAGAGTGTGAGGAAAAAGCAGCGGCTTATAGTCCGGAAATTACGGTAACCAACTCTACATAGTCCTGGTGTTATTTGTTTTATTTGTTGTTTATTTATTTTATTTTTATTATATCTGTTTTGTCTATAAATAAATTCCTATTCCTAATACAGGACTTGGCTTTGCCCTGTAACTGCTAGCCTTGTGAGCTTCAGTTGACTGGAGCTTGATTATTACCTTAGCTCAGTGCTTCTCAAATGCGCGAGGCTCCGTCAAGGGGGGCGCGTTTGACCTCGGGGAGCATGCTTTTTTATTTTTTTATTTAGATTTTTTTTTACTGTCTTAAGGGCCGTTCACACCAACGCGTCAAAAAACGCCTTGACGCCTCTATTTGGACGCGTTTGCATTTGAGTTTAGACGACCCCGACGCGCATCTTTGACGCCGTGGACGAACGGGACAAAAGTACTTGATGCGCGTCAGTTGCCCTGGAAACAAGAGCCCGGTCCCGCTCTTTTTCCGAAACAATGTCAGACCAGACTGAGAGTGTTTTTATGACATAAAACATCAACGGAGGAGATCGGGTCGACGACTGGGGCGTATATATATTTCTACTCCGCTAATGACACTGGATCAGTCCCGGTCTCGTCCTGGTCTAATACCGGTCTAGTCCCGGTCTGGTCCCGGTCTAGTCCCGGTCTAGTCCTGGTCTAATCACGGTCTAGTCCCGGTCTAGTCCTTGTTTAGTCTCGGTCTAGTCTCGGTCTAGTCTCGGTCTAGTCCTGGTTTGGTCCTGGTCCGGTCCTGGTGTAGTCCTCGCGATCGGCTCGGTGATTGTGGCGTATATATTTATTCTCCGTTCATGTTTGTGGTTCTCGTTCTGGTTCTCGGGTCTTGCTTCCTGATAATAACGTCGCTGCGTCTCTGGATACTCGTCCCTGATTGATTGACGCGGCGCGTCTGACGCGAAAAGTTCAGCATTTTCAACTTCTTGATGCTGACGCCTTGGACGCGCGTCTTGGCCGCTGACGCCAAAACGCTGAAGACGCGCTGCGCTGGACGCCAGATTCGCGCCGCGCTGACGCTGAAAACGCGCCGCAAAAACGCAGGACGCTCTAGTCGCGCGTCCACATAGACTTTACATAGAAAGTGGACGCTTTGACGCTTTGGTCTGAACGGGCCTTTAGAATAAAGTGCAATTGCACTTCCACTACATTAGGGGGCAGAGCGCTCTCATTGGCAGAGTGTGCGCAGGGAGCATTCGCTCGGTGGTGTAGGAGTTTTGTTTGCACTGAGCATGCGCGCTTTGCACACAGCACAGAGTTTGAGTATGAAGTGTAGACACGAAGTGTAGCAGACCCTCAAGTGACACCATGAAAAAATATTTAACAGGGATGAGAAGACAGGCGGAGAGAGACGGAGATAAAGAGACAAACGAAAATCTCCCGAAAGCTAAGACGAGGAAATATGACGAAGCGTATGTAGCGCTTGGCTTCACTGTGACTACGGTGGGAGACGAGGAAAGACCGGTGTGCTTACTGCGTCTAAAAATGTTGGCAGCCGACAGCATGAAGCCCAATAAATTAAGGCGTCACTTAAATACATTACACCCCAATCACTCTGATAAGCCGGTTGAGATTTTTCAGCGAAAACATGCCGAATATTGCCGACAATCATCCCGCTTTGTGACTGCTACTTCAGTAAACCAGCGAGCGTTGTTGGCGTCATATAAGGTGGCAGTGTTACGCACAGGTGCACTTATAACAATTTTATAGACAAATGATACTATCTATAGTCACGCGGGGGGGGCATGACAGAAAATAATTGAGAAGCACTGCCTTAGCTGAATAATTTTTGGCTATTTTAGTTTTAATGGGAAAAATTGGAGAGGCCAGAGGAATCCCACCCAGGAAGCTCCTTTTACTGTGCTAGCCGCTCACTGTGCTGACAAAAAACATTATTTTCTAGTACTTTTGCCAGGCTGTCTCATGCTTTGACTTCATGGAGTGGTTTTGCTTTTGCCGTTCACACCTCTTTTCTCAACAATTTGCATCAAAGGACGATGTGGTGACAGTTGTTCTCACACTGATCTCTCACACTAAAGTCCTTGGCGATGCCACAGAATGTTTTTTTTTTTTTTTGGAAAGAACAAGGTATTCTATGTGACATGGAAGGAGGAAAGACGGATTTAGTTGAAATACTTTTGTTGGTACATATGAAGGCATGTTGTGGCACATTCCTGATAATTACAAACATTTTATTTGATTATTTTTAACAAGCATAACAAAAAAAATCTGATAATTGTCGTTACCCACACCTAATCCTGAGCAATTTTGTCTGCGAAGAGTGTTTTCTTTTGACTGACACATATAAGCCACTTAAAGGTGCAAGGTAGGCTGGTACTTTTTATTTAACCAATCGCTGCTATTTGGTCATGACGTATGTAATGCGCCGCTGACAGGACTAACTGGTATATTAAGCTTTTCCCAAATCCCATAGGAAGAAGGGCAATAACGTCTTTCCCCCCGATAAAATTCACCAAACATTCTCTTTGTTCCGGCTTTAAATCCTTGATCTCGGAATTGTTGCCAACACAGAATGTATAGCTCTTTGCTGATTGACTGGTGCCCAAACTCGCACTTCTGGGGTCTTTGCGAACCGTCTAGTATATTCTGATTCCTGACCTAGTCGCAGGAGAGAAATGAAATTGAGCAGTGGCACTAGGTGGCGCCAGCCTGGCTAAGAGACAAGTATGGCGCCATCAGCATTACTGAACAATCACATCACTAAGAAGATGAGCAGGTAGCAGAGCCTCCACCAGAAAAGTTTCAAAGTGCACCTTTAAAGTCAGGATTGGACTCTGGCACGGTCTATAATATGCACTTAAATTAACAGAGACTTCTCACTGAATACACGCACATATTAAAACACAAGTTACATTTTGATGGACCTCCAGAGAATGACTTCCTCGGGACTAAACTGCAGCCAAGCACTTTTGGACAGTAAGTGATATGTGTCGGACAAGGTGAGGCTTGGACCTTGGTGTTTTATGACTGATAAAGACCTTCTATTTATGAACTCCGGCTCAGAGTTAATGAAGCATTTTATATACTGCGTTTACAAGTGAATACAAGTGTATTTTGGGGAGAAAAATATGAATGTGGTTTATACACATTTTGACACTGCAAAATGCTTCTTGTGTTTACTTGTACTTGTGTTTTTTTGTTTTGTGTTTTTTTAACCAAGCTACATAAATGACATTCAAGAAGCTATTATGGATAAACTAACATGATTTTGTTTATGTCTAAAGTTTATCCAGGCCCTATCCCTCAATGTATGTCCATAAACACTATTTTGCTAACTGTTCTAACTAACCATTATTTGTCTTACAATGGGGAAATTTCAACACAAATCATTCTTCATAACAGAAGAATAAAATAAAAATAGCAGTCAAAATTCAAGATAACTTGTTTTGTCATATTTCACAAACATTTGTAATTACTGTCTCAGGTTATAGCTGTGAGATTTTTGAAATTTGAGAAATCTGAAAATATTGCAGTGGTTGTTAAAGAGATATACAGTGCACCTTTAATCCACGCCTAAAAATGTAGTTAAGATTTAATAAGTGCATAACTTTTTGTTTGGGAGTCCGTCACCCGCTTGTTGTTTGGCATTAAACAGATTTACCTTACATTTATTCAGTTACAGGTATCTTAAAAATATCTAGAAAGACAGGCATTCTGACTGAGCGGGATTGTCTCTCCACAGATCTGACCTATAAATTTGTCTGGTTTGGTCTCCATAAAGATGAAGAAAGGTTTAATGCCATACTGTGAAACATTCCAGACAAAACAACATCTCCATGAAGAAAAGCCTTTGATGGACCCTCCACCAGAAAATGAACACGATGCACATTTAACAAAAAAATAACAATTTCAGGATAATATAGAATAAATAATCCTGACATTCCACCTCAAGCTGCGTGGTTTGAATCTCTATCATTTGTTCATTCATTTTTCAAAATAAAACCAAATAAAAGAAAATGAAAAAAAAAAACTAAATGAAAAAATTGATAATGATTCAATTTTTTCAGTTTCCATGACTTAAACTGCGATGCCGGACTGAACCAGGACTAAACCAGGACTAAACCAGGACTGAGTGTGCGCCTGCGTAGACTCAGGTGATCGGGACTGAGACTGGGACGGGGACCGAGACTGGGACTGGGACGGGGATTGGGACAGGGACCGAGACTGGGACCGGGAACGGGATGGAGACCAGGATGGGGACCGAGACTGGGACCAAGACCGGGACCGAGACCGGGACCGAGACTGGGACCAGGACCGAGACTGGGACCAGGACCAGGCCCAGGACTGAGAAGGAACTGAGACCAGGACTGGTCCCAGAATCATTATCCGTTATCAGTTTTTTCATTTGGTTTTGGAGACAAATAATGAAGAAAATAGTTGTTGGTTGTTTTTTTGTTTGTTTGTTTGCTTTCTTATTTTTGGTTTTAATTTGAAAAACTTAATTAACGAATGATACACGGATTGGTTCGACATAACTAAACCATAAGACCCATATAAAGCATGTCTGATAACTGATTCATAGCTCAGATTTTTTCATTCATATCCATGTGAAATCTTGCTCGCCTAAACCCTCTGAGATGCATACAAACTACATAATATAATAGAGATGTTCCTATTATCGGACACTGGCTATGAAAAAGACACATAACTGACCACAAGTGGGCTTTCCCGCTCATATATGATGGATTGTCTTGCCTTATCCTCTGGTGGTTTTGGACCTGTATTTTTGGTTCTGTGCACAAAAGGGGGAGCAGTCACCAGGGACAGTTCTGCCTGGTCTAATCCTCCAAGTCCTAAATCTCTGGTCTCAATCCAGTTTCTGAACAATGCACCTCCGAGCTTTGGGGAGAAGCAGAGCCCATACGGAACCACGAGGGAAGGCTGAAACTGGAATTCTCTGCTGCTAAAGGAGCTGTAATGTAATCCGGTGTGAAAACTATACACTGTTCTGAGAAAAAGGAATATTAAAGTGAGATTTTTTTTGGCTGAACCACTGTGTTTATTTTAGGATCTTGCACAAATTGGCCAAAACATTTTCAAGGCTGTAGATGAGGAGGTGTGAAAAACAGCACATGTAATAATGTTTATTTATGGAGTGTTTTCCTGGACATAGTTCCAAAGTGTGTTCCACTTCAGAACAACAGTCTTATTTAGCACAGTGAAAAATAACAAAATCATAAATAACAAAAAAACAAAACCTTGCAAGTGCTTTTTAAATGACCTGTCTTATGCAAAATTAACGTTAAGCCATGTTAAAATGTTGTTACCAGAGGTGTGGACTTGCAAATCGTGACTTGGACTCGAGTCAGACTTGAGTCACTATTTTTAGGACTTGAGACGTGACTTGATAAAATGGACTAAGACTTGGGACTTGACTTGGACTTGAGCCCTGTGACTTGAGAAGACTTGATGCTTCTCCTGAAAAAAAAATGTTTTTAGAAAATACTTTTCTGCCATGCTGAACAAACTTTAACATGTCCGTCCAACTTCTCTATTTGTTACTTTGGATGTAACTGAAGTACTGTGACATGGTATCGTCAAATGTACTACAGTAATACACAGTACAATACAGTAAAACGGAACTACAAAAACACATGATTCCTTCTAGTTCATTCTACATGACAAAATAACTTATTGCACACTTTTAATCATAATTATTTCTATACTGCAATGATTCACACTAAGAACAAAAACATACCTGAAATAGGGGCCGGAGGGGGTCCGGTTTGGGGACCACAGGATTTCATCTCTGCTGTTTGCGGATGATGTTGTCCTGTTGGCTTCATCGAACCAGGACCTACAATGTGCACTGGGGCGGTTTGCAGCCGAGTGTGAAGCGGCTGGGATGAAGATCAGCTCTTCCAAGTCCGAGGCCATGGTTCTCGACCGGAAAAAGGTGGCTTGCCCTCTCCGGGTGGGTGGGGAGTCTTTGCCTCAAGTGGAGGAGTTCAAGTATCTCGGGGTCTTGTTCACGAGTGAGGGAAGGACGGAACGTGAGATTGACAGGCGGATCGGTGCAGCTTCGGCAGTGATGCGGTCGCTGTATCGGACCGTTGTGGTGAAGAGGGAGCTGAGTCGAAAGGCGAAGCTCTCGATTTACCGGTCAGTCTTCGTTCTTACCCTCACCTATGGTCATGAGCTCTGGGTAGTGACCGAAAGGACGAGATCGCGGATACAAGCGCTCGAAATGAGTTTCCTCTGCAGGGTGGCTGGGCGCTCCCTTAGAGATAGGGTGAGGAGCTCAGTCACACGGGAGGAGCTCGGAGTAGAGCCGCTGCTCCTCCACGTCGAGAGGAGCCAGTTGAGGTGGCTCGGGCATCTGTTCCGGATGCCTCCTGGGCGCCTCCCTCGGGAGGTGTTCCGAGCATGTCCCGCCGTGAGGAGGCCCCGGGGAAGACCCAGGACACGCTGGAGGGACTATGTCTCTCGGCTGGCCTGGGAATGCCTCGGGGTCCCCCCGGAGGAGCTGGAGGACGTGTCTGGGGTGAAGGAAGTATGGGAGTCCCTGCTTAGGCTGCTGCCCCCGCGACCCGGCCCCGGATAAGCGGACGAAAATGGATGGATGGATGGATGGAAATAGTTTTGTTTCATTCAAACATGTTTGAGTAGTAATTAGTTTATGCATACCTCTCCAGAGCTCAAAATGTTCTGTTCCACCTTGTGATGTTATGAAGCTGGAGTTTTTGGTTAACCGCTACCTTTTACCATTTTGTTCAGTAGAAATTGGCAATTCCAGGGCTGAAATCATCCAGATGATTCTAGAGAAGTTGTATGGAGTTGTGAAGCACTTCCTGTATTACCACATGACATCACAAAGTGGAATAGAGTGTGCATAGGCTTCCTCCATAGGTCTACAGTATGATTAAATTTGTCTGTCTTGCAATTATTCAAATCCAGGTGCTTTTGTTGCTAAAAACAATTTGAAAAACATACATTCTGTGAGTGGCCTCATAACTTGACCAGGTTTTCCTTCTTGTTTCTATGGACATGAGTAGGTTTAATTGCAACAGTTCAGACAAAGTGATAACATCTCCATGGAGACAAAAGGAAAGGTTACATAGCGCACCTTTAATTTGTATTTACTGGCGAGGGGAACTTGGACCGGAGTGACGACTCTTTAGAGGACGTGCTGTCAAACGTCATGACGATGATCCAAACAGACAAGGACTCATCTCAAACCCATTCTGTGACAAGAAAGAGGGAATAGATTAAATATAAATGACCACTTTGAACATAAAGCAAAACTCCTCTTTGTTCTGACAATAAAAAGTGACCGATCTCAGCTGAAATGTTCCTCGTCCCCACTCGTTCGCTCTGTTTAAACCCGTGCCCTTGAGTTCTCGCATTATCTCCTCCTCCTCTTCTTCTTCTTCTGCCTCTCAACCAAAACACACAGTTATCTTTTATTCATGCGAAATGAAATGCAGTCATCCCAACCCAAATAATTACACAGTGAATATACAGCCACAGTCTCCTTGATGTCAGCGCGTCCTCAGAGTTACAGACAGGCCAACCCACTTTCAAGGCATTAGACTGATGTCCCCATAAAGCCATGTTTTCAGATAATGGGGCGCTCTCAAATCAAGCGAAATCAAGTGTGTATGACAAATCACTACTAATTTTATAAAAGTACAGTTAAGATCATTATGTTTAACCTTTAATTCTCATGATCTTGCCTTTGTTTTTATTGCATTGTGTAACTTTTGTGGTGGAGGGTCTGTCAAATGCTTTTCTCCATGGAGTTGTTATTGCTTTGGAATAGGGATGTAACAATAACTGAAATATTGTGATATCGTATCGTCAAGGTTCTCACAATAATCGTGGACCATCACAATATATCGAATTACAAGTCTCTTTGCTTAAATTAAGAGTTATGGTGCAGCAATAGCTTAAAAAAGACAGAGGGAACTACATAGACCATGATCCTTTGCTCCATTTCAGTGTAGACTACATGAAGAAATAACAGTTCTAAGCACTTTTAAGTCTTAGTTCTTTGGATTAAGTCTTGTCAAGGCATTTTAAGTGGAAAAAGTCGCACATTAACAGTTTTGTTCACAGCCTCCATAAAATATTGCAATAAATATACAGTGAGATGTATATCATGAAAATATCATACTGAGAGATTTGGATAGTGTTAAATTCCTAATCGTGAGACTCACCACCATATCTTGAGCTTTCCCACAATATCGCAATAAATATTGTACCATGAGCTTCATACCGTGATGATATTGTATCGTGAGACTTGGATATTGTTACACCCCTACTTTGGAATGTTTCACAGTTTGGTATTAAACCTTTCTATCTTCATGGACTAAACCAGGCTAAGTTACTGATCAGATCTGTGGAGAGTAGGGCTGAACGATCTATATTTTTGACTGAAAATTTGCAATCTCAGACAACACGATTTTGAGAGCGTCAAAGCTGCGTTTTTTTGCAGTGCTCCTAAAGCTCAATTTTAAAGGCGAAGTATAGTTCTGCGTCGACTTCACGCGCACTGCCGCCGTCGCCTTGTTGCTGTTGTTTTTTAAGGTAATTCACCACCACAACTCTAGGAGGCAAGGATTTAACCTGGCATTTGTATAAAGTTTAGCATGAACCATCTCCAACGTGATAGATACACAGAACAGACTCACCATTATCAGCACAGCCTCTGTGCTGAGTCGTGTCCTTAAGTCCAACAGAAACTGAACCGCATCAGCAACACAAGGAGCGAGCTGTTTTTTAGTGCTTCTAGTTTATGCATTATTAGCCATGTGGTTTTAAGTTTTGTTTCTGTAACACGTAAACAAATGTGCGGAAACAGTCCAGTATTGAATCG